TCTGTGTGTCTGTGCTCGGCGAGGGGAGGAGAGGAACGTGCTCGGTCCTACACGCTCGCGATCAGGATTCAAAGCGACGAGGCTCGAACCTATTCGCCGGCCGAGGAACGATACTACGCCTCGATCTGATCCTCCGGCGTCATTATGTCGGGCGCCATCGACAGGTCCTCCGCCATGTCCTCGTCTTGGCCGGAGTCGTGCCCGTGGCTCTCCGAGTACTCCCTCTCGTCCACCTGGTCGTCCTCGCCCTCGGGCTCCATCGGCGCGTCGACCAACTCCCGTTTTATTAATCTCGTGAGTTTACCCCCCTCCGGGCTCTGGCCTTCTTGTTTTATGTGCACGGCTGGTTCATCCAACGGTGACCTGTAATTTTCGTCAGATACTGAGTTCCGTGCGTTGATATGCTTCTGAATTGATATTGAGTGGTGTTCGCAAGGAATTTGGGTCATTGGAGTTCAATGCGAGATTTTTCAGTCGAGCTTTCGATAGATGACTTTTGCGAATAGTTTTTATGGACATTGACTTGAATTGACGATAATGGAAACTGGCGTTGAATTAACACTAGAACTACCGTCAAAATGACTGGTTTCGATTTTTTGTTTAGCAATTACTGATATTTTCGAAGCATTGAATATTCGAAGTGATTTTGAAAATAGTTTCACTTGAGTACTATAATGAATGTCTGAAGAAACTGAAAATACTCTATTGTTACAATTTTTATAGGTATTAAATGCTCGGTAGTTCTAGTGTCAATGTACTTAGAGTTCTAAGCTAACTTTGGAGGGTTGTTTTATATCAAATTTATTTCGATTCGCTTAGAATTCTTTGTGAAATATATTGTGAACGACACATCGAGATTCAGCTGTTCCACTCACATTAAGTCGTTGTGGGCTAACACGTGCTCCTTGTCGGGGCTCGTCGTCGTCGACGTGCACATCGAGTTGTTTAGAAAACCCATGTTAGAGTCCCCGAGTGCCGCCTGGAAATACTCAAATTGCATTAGATGGTTAGTTACGATATTCGTTCGGTTACCTATCGGCGAGACTACGGAAGACACGTTAATATTAATGCGTGTACTGCGATTTACCAAACGACACGAGGATCTCGTCGGAACTCTTATCGTTCCGCGGGATCTCGATGGTTCGCAGTTCGTTAAGCGAAACGATCGTCAAGTATCACGTTGATCGTAAACAGTTACCTGGAGATTGGCGTTCAATGCGTCACCGTACATGGTCGGGCTGTGCGTCAGGGTCGGACTCTTCGACGGGACACCCCTACACGATCGACAGAGAAAATTCGATTAGTGATCGTAGGCAATTCGCCTGACAAGTGTATTCTGAAATATAGAAACGCGTGTGAGATATATATATATATAATAGATATATATATATGGAATAAAGCTTTATCTTTTATTTTTAGTACTGTGTCGATGTATACGGGGGTTTTTGGAGGGCGGCGAAGGGGGTTGGGGTGGAATCGTTTCTCGAGAGTAATATTCGGTTGGGTTTTGTCGTGACGATGGTGGTGAGACGGGCGGGGAGAGGTGGTTAGGTAGAGATAGAGCTCGTGTGTACAATGTGTGCACGTGTGACTGAGTTTTAATATGTAGAGGTATATAAAGATAGAAAGATAGAGAGATAGATATAGAGAGAAAGAGATAGATAGATCGATAGATAGATAGATAGATAGAGAGAGAGAGAAAGAGCAAGAAATGGAAAGAGAAATAGAGACGTAGATAGATAGACAGATTAGAGGAATTATAATATGAAAAAATGTATACACGTATATATGATATATAAATATGTAAATATATATATTAAAAAGAGATAAAAAAGATTGAAGAGATAAAAAAAAGAGTTCGAAAACTCTTACCGGTTTACCAGTTTCACTCACTCGTCCAACGAATCGGCGCTTGG